GCCGTGGGGACCAAGACAGGCACACCTGACATGGGGACCTAGGAAAGAGGGGTCCTCACAGTCAATGTCAGCAGCTCTCCTGAGTTCCTGGTCTTGGCAGGGCCAGTCTAGTGAAGAGTAGGTGGCGCATCCAGCTTTTCCCCTCCCAGTCCAGTACCAAGCCACCACACTCGTGCACCTGTGGAGCCCTGTTGCCCTGGGTGTGCCCTTCATGGACCCTGCTATCCGCAGCTGGCTCCATCATGACCCTCTTGGCCCTGGGTGACATCACAGCCGGGAGGGCCGGAGCCCTCCTTGGGAGCCTAAGATCGCACACCTGTTGGGTTTGGTCCGCCGCCTCGCCTTCCCCACCACACTTGTTTTCACTGAAGAGATAAGATGACAAAACACGGGAGATGCTTTCTCTGGAGTGGTCCACGATTACAGTCCCTCCCCTCCTGCCCCAGCCCCCTCACATCCTGGGCTACCTTCTCACCTTGACAAGTTCTCACCTCCCCCACGCCCTCCACATTACTCCCAGAGAGAGTATGTGAGAGACTGTGGTGTGGGACAGTGCAGGGGTGGGACGGGCCTGGCTCTGAGTTAAGGCCGTGGCTCACAAGTTGCTGTGTCTTGAGTGTCTGCCATGTGCCAGGCATCTTCCAAAGTGCTTTGTGTTTAACTCACTTGAGCTGCGCAGTTCAAAGTTTTCCAGACGGGCAGGTACAGCTGTAACCCTGAGGGCTGGGAGGAATGAGCTGCAGAGAGATGAGGTGGTTTGTCCTGGTCACCAGCTAGTCAGTGATGTCATCACGATCTGAACCTCGATGGTTTGGCCAAAAACCTGTACTTTTTTGATGGTCATTTTTAAGAATTTACATATTATAAGGGGTACTCTTTGGTGTACACTGAGTAGGCATCTAGTCATGTGACCACAACCACATGCAGCGTAAGGAATGGTTCATTGGTGGCCGGCCCCTCCTCACCCCTCTGGCAGCCACTTGCTCCTATGATGTTGACTTTCCAGACTGTTGTGTGGTGGGATCTGTACACATGGGGCCTTTGCTCTGGGCTTTTTACATAGTGTAATGCATTTGAGATCCACCTGTGATGTAGCCTGTTCCAAATGGTCATTAGCTTTTATTGCTAAGCAGCATTAGACTGTGTAAACATACCAAAGATTGTTTATCCATTCACCATTTGAGTAACATTTAGGTTCTTTCTGGGCTTTGGCTGTTGTAAAGCTGTTTAAAATATTTACATACAGTTTTTTACATGAGCATGAATTTTCTTTTTTCAAGGGCAACTCCCTGAGAGTAACTGCTCCTCTCAGGGTGAGAATGTCCCCAACTCTGCACAAGCTGCCAGTGTCCCAGCCAGAACCTGTGCTTCTCCTCTAGCAGAAGCAAAGGTTCTTACTGAGTCCTGGAATTCCCTTGGAAGAGGGACCAACTCCCTTGGTTTGTTTTGGTGGTCAGTTCAGGCCAAGACCAGGGGCTTCTGGGACTCTCTTCAGAGCCGAGTAGAGGGCTGCCAAGGTCAGGTTGTGGGGCCCTTTGGGAGCTCCCCCAAGGCCAGAGCCTTGAGAATTTTGTGTTCTTTACGGCAGCATTTGGCTGTCGCTCCTTACATAGTCGCTCAAAATGGTCGTAGGAAGCGTTGGCCCCAGCTTCCCCAGAGCTGCTTCCCCAGAGCTAGTGCAGGAGACCCAGCAGCCCCCACCCCAGCAATGAGGGTTAGTGTTTCCTGAAGGCCCAGAAGGAAGTCAGCCTGGTGCTCCTCCCTTCAGAGGCTCCGGCCCCCTGGAGCAACATCCAGCTGGCAGTCCCTGCCCTCTGCCGGTGTCTGGAGGGGCTGCCTTTGTGCTGCCTTCTGTTACGCATCTATGTTTTATGGGGTTGAGAGTTTACGTCCATTGGGAGTTCTGCAAATTCCACTCAGCACGTTGGCTTATTGAATGTTTTCCATGCTGCTTCCATTTTTAACAGATAAGTAATCATCTGTGCTGTGACAATACTTAAGTAAACCCTATTCCTAATGTGGACATTTCAGTTGTTTCTGAACTTTTGCTTTTATAAATACATTCTGATCCTGTGCTTGTTTTACAAATTATACCAAATGGCCCACAGGTTGTTTTTCTGTGCAAAAGCAGCACAAACCTTTGAGGTCACGGTTCTCTTACGTGTTTTGACAGTGTCCCTACAGGCAGGTGGCACAGCAGAGAAGCAGTGCTTAGTGTGGTCTGGGCACAGGCACAGGACCACCTGGAGATCTGCCAGCTCACTGTCACCTGGCACCGCCATGGCCCTCGGTCCTGTCCCATGGGCCCGTTGGTCTCAGATTTGAATTATTTGGGAGTTGTAATTTTAGACTTCATCATGTAAAGGTCTCATTCAGAGCATAGCTTTGGCTCAGAGTATCAAAGGCCTGTGAAGATGTGTCCTATTAATCAAATGGTGTAGGATGAGCAGGAGTGGAGTTACCAGACATGGGCAGGACACTGGGGAGGCAGAGCTGCTCTGCTTGTGACAGAGCTGTCCCGGAGGGCCAAGCTCCGTGAGTGTGTCCATGCTGGTGACTTCTGGGAAGCGAGCAGCCTAGTGAGTCACTGTGCCTGCTCTGCACACACGCTGGCAGGGTCCTGCCTGGCCAACTTGTCATGGAGGTACAGCCACTTTAAAGGGCCTCAGGACTGATGTCAGGGTGGCATGGGGGAGCCAGCCTAGGGGCTACCAGCTTGGCTCTGGACTCTTGGGTTTGGGGTGGTGCAGGAAGCTCTCATCACTGCCGTGGGCAGCATGGACCCTGCCTGCTTGCACATCAGCCCAGGCAGCTCCCCCTTTCCTGCCCTTCCTTTCTCTCCCTCCTGGTGTTCCTAAGACTGTCCAATTCCAGGAGCTGTTTTTAATGTCTTTTTTGTGTATTGGGGAGAACCTCACTGAAGTACTGCGTAAGGATTAAAAAAGTTTTCATTTTACTCTGAGTCTTCCAAAGAAAGCATGTGCACCTCCTCTCTCATAGGCACAGACACATGAACATACATGCACATTCATGTACATGTGCACACACACCCATACTCCCCCCAAGAGATATGGAGCTCCTTCTGCTCTGTGTGTGCTGTGGCCTTCTGGGGGGTCAGACTGTGGGCCTGGATGCTGCAAGGCAGCTCCTGACTGGCCGAGGACCTGCCTAGCTGTCCCTGCAGCCTTCGTGGGCACATCTTGCTTCCTTTGTGGGCAGGGAGGCCCAGGACACAGAGTGGCTGGCCGGAACCCTCCTGTGAGGACAGACCAGGGTGCTGGGCCTTCCTTTGAGAAACCCAAACATTTCCCTGGCATTCCTTTCCCTCCTCAGCAGTTGGGTGTTCAAGGACGGGATGAAGGGGGTGCTCTTTGCTTTTTGTTTTTATTCAAGACCCATTTTTTCACCCCGTCATGAGAAGCATTCTCACTGTGCTAATTGTTATGAGTAGAGAGGAGAGTTGAGCCAGCAGGAGAGGACAGACAGCTTGGTCTGAAAATGGTAATTTCTGCCCCACTGGGAGCCTGGCCCCACGTTTGCCCAGTGCTAGCTGCATATAGCATCTCTTCCCAAAGCAGAGCCTCAAAGCAAAGCTGACCCTCGGTAGGGGCCACTCTGTGGAAAGCAGTCAGCACACGCCTAGCAAGCGCCTGGCCCTGCAAACTGGAGTGGACATCATCCCTATCATCGTGGGCTGTGTGCGGCCAAAGCCCACCAGAAGCCCCTGGGGCTGGACATCTGGGGTGGCTCCCTTGTTTCAGGGAAAGCACACACCCCGGGAAGCCACGGCGTCTTGCAGCGGGAGAAAACCTGTGTAGGATTTGGGGCCAGGATTTGGAGGAGGGTCCCAGGAAGTAGGGATTTGCTCCAGATCCAACACAGTAAGTCGTTCCATGTCTGGGCAGCTGAGCAAATCTTATTTGTGGGGCAGGTGTGGGGGTAAAGCCGTGATTGGTGAAGAAGTGCTGTCACTCATTGTAGGGAAGGCCTTCTGTGATCGCCCTTCCTGATGGGCCCAGAAACCCTCTTCTGGTGTTGATGTCTGTGAGGTTGTTGACAGGGTGTGAGGCCCAGCTGGCTACAGCCCTTTTCCTTCCTGCGTGGTCATAGCCATGGCCCTGGCTCTCTGCCGTCATCGCAGCCCTCAGGGCAAGTCTGTCCATCCTGCAGAAGTCAGCCTTGCCCAGCAGAGACCCGGGGTGGGCAGCACGAGAGCCCAGCCTGGGCTGCAGTTGTCTAGGTCCCTTGCAGAGCAGGGCCATGCTGCTCCACAGGTCACTGGGAGGAGTGGACATTGGATCAAGTGCCAAGGCTGTGTGTGGGCCCCCTCCCCTCTGCAGGTCTCCCCTGCTTCCTCTGGCCCTTGTAGGTCATTCACTGGCCCTTCCTCGGTCATTCACTCAGGGGCCTTGATGGAGCCCTTAGCTGGGGTGGGGCTGGGGAATGCCATGCAGGGCTCCTGAGGCACCTGGCCACAGCTGAATGGGCGGGCTGGAGGCTTGGCTCTGTGTCAGGAGCGCCTCGGCCTCTGTCCAAGCAAGCATCACCTGGTCCCAGCCAGCCAGTGGCCGCTTTGCCCAGCTATGAGGCATCTATAAGTGTCTGTGAGAAAGTGGAGCCCAAGTCTTCAGGTCACAAGCCTGTGGTCCCTTGCAGACCCCACAAGCCCCTGGGAGCGCACTCGTGGTACATCATCACGGAGCATCTTGATGAAGATGTGAAACAGGGCAGGCATGAGGCCTCGCCTGTGGTCACAGGCATGGGCCGCGGGAGTGTCACACTGGATGGACTCTGCCCTGAACACGGAGCCCGCCTTGTGCAGGAATAGCAGGGGCCCTGCTTGCTTTGAGAGTCAAACTCCAGTCCCCACAGGGTTCGTTCCCCATGCGGGTGGAGGAACTGATGTGTCTGGGCCCCTGCCGGGCCCTCCGCGGTTGGCCAAAAGAGCCCTCCATTTTCAGTTTCATGCCCTGTGAAAACATACATGTTCCAGATGTGCCTGCTGTGAAACGTTCATTGTATTCTGCCAGATCAGCCTCTCCACATCCCTGCCCTGCGATGAAAACCCGGCAGTAGTGATGTATTTGGCCGCTCAGTCAACACCCTGATGTTTCCTGACCGTCCACAAACCTTTCCCAGCTCCGTCTTCAGGGGACAGACTGTAGCCACTGTTAATCCTTCCTTAATGAGGACAACCTGGGAAAGCTGCTCCGTCATGTCCAGTTCCAAATGCTAGAAAAATAAATTGTATTCTCTTTTATTTAACAGAACCAACCTGTAGTGTAAAGAAACTTTGGTTTTTAGAGAGAAACTTCCCACAGCTACGAAGTCACTCCAGCCTCCCGGCCAGCTTAACCACTTCGGTACGGTGCTCACCAGCCATGAAACCTTGCCCACAGCCGGCACTCATAGTCCGCACAATAGTTTGTGCTGTGCATTGACGGTGAATCCATTTTGCTCATGTGTGATAAGGAAAGTTTTAAAACAATGAAAGCTTGTTTTACTTTACAGGCAGCTTTACTTGTAATGTAAATCAGAATAGGTAACATATACATATATGCTTTTATTACGTTATTTTTAAATGTTCACAATTTTATTTTATAAATGAAAAATTAGAAAAATTAATTAAAAATTATAGACTAAAGTCGATGCTCGGCTGTGTGCGTTCATCTGGCTATTGGCTATAGTCGATGCTCGTACTGAAGTGGTTAAACTCTGCTCTGACACAGGGGATCCCAGTGAGGGGTCAGAAATGGCGGAGGGGAAGCGAGGCCTGAGTTGGTGGGCAGCTGTTTCCCAGAGAAAGTGCATGCAGTGCTCACCTGTGCCGAAGCCTGTGCCTGTTGCAGCGTGAGCCCAGCCCTGTCTGTCTTGCCCTCCTCTAGCTCCTTGAAACAGGCCCAGAAACCTGTAGTTCTGTGCGTCACTCAAACCACACACACTGCGTTTTGAGCAGCATCTATTGTGGCCATGTGATCCTGTAGGGAGGCAGCTCAGTACTAGGGAAGAGGTGACGAACAGCGTGTGCCTGTGCTCTGGGCACCTGAGGGCTTCCAGCAGTTTCCCTGCAGGTGCGTGTTGGTGCATTCACAAATCAGCTCCTCCCAGAAAGTGGGCAATGTTTGCATATTACTAGAACCTAAAATCCCACCGGAGAACCAGGAAAAAGTGCTCACACCTGTGTAAGCTGAGAGCATTTTCCCTGGAGCCTTGCCACACAGTCCTGAGCTACAGGGCCAGAGGTGCCTGGCCAAACGGGGGTTGTGGCCCTCTGCCACAAACAGGGTGAGCCAGAGAAACAGCAGAGCTTTGGCCTGAATGTCAGGTGATCTAAGTCCTGCACAGCAGAGGACCCCCTTCATCACCCTGCAGCTTGTGCCTGTAATTTCAGGATGTGCCTACCGAGCTGCGCAGGGTCACCATGGGGTCTTCAGAACCCTCCTCTCCTGGCTTTGCCAAGGAGCCTGAGGCACTGGGTGGAGGAGAGCCCTGGGCTGAGCTTCAAATTCCCAAAGGGAGAATTCCCCTGCCCAACCGAGGAAAAGGTCTTGGAAATTAATCGGGGAACCAGCTTGCTTTCTTTATAGCCTCCCTAGGGCCAGCCCTGCTGGATATAGATGTGGGTTCTTTTCGCTGTTTCCCTTGGTGTTCATACTCCTTTTATGAAGCTTGCTCCATGTTAGGTGGACCCTTGGGGACACGGAGCCAGCCCACCTGCAGTCACTGGCATACCCAGTTAAAAGCCCAGGTAGCCACAGGAGGACTGGGCTTCTCCTCCCACACCCCTTGCACATGAGGGCTGCTCCCAAGCTGCCCAGGGGGGTCACAGTGTGCCCCCATCTTGGGATCCCTAGACAGATGCAGGCCACTCTGAAAACCATTCACAGGAAAGGCCAAGCCCAGGACCCAGGGCTATTCATTCAGGGCCAGGCACGTGGGGCTGGCAGTCAGGAACCAATGACTCCAAGGTGGGGGCAGAATGTGGGTTCATGGAACTACCGAAGGCCCCAGGAAAACTGCCACTGGTACCCACAGAGAGATTTTGGGTCAAGGGAGAGACCCCAGACCTCAGGCCCCACTCACTCTGTGGGCCTTGTTTCCTAAGGCCCTGGTCCTGCTCAGAGCCTGTGAAGGGGCCACATCCCACCTGCGCACACATGTGGGGGGAGGCTGTACCTGAGGAACCATAGGCGGCCCAACCCCTTCCCTCCTCTAGTGTCGTCAGCATCTGGTCCAAGCCCTTGGCCACAAATGGACTTCACAGGTCACCAGAAGGGATAGCCAGGGATGGGGTGCCTTATGCCAGGACAGTTTATGGGGAGGGAAGGGCCATTCCTCCTCTCAAGACATCGCTGTGCCCCCTGCTCATTTGTTCCCTCAGCACAGCCCTGTTCTGGCATTTGTGGGCCAAAGATAGGCTCTGAACTACCTGGCACCCAATCTGCTGAGCAGAGTATGGGATGTCTTGCAGGAGCCCAGCTTAATGCTAAAATGCCAGAGAAACAACCCATACTGTGGCTGTGCTTTTATGCATATGACTTAGAAATCATAGGCATTTTCCCACATAAACCTGCTTTTATATGGCATGAGGAAATCCTGGTGGAGGCGGTGGGTTTTCTGGGTGGGCACCTGCCCCAGCTATCATGTTGACTTGTTTGGGAACTCAAGCGGGGTACGTCACTCTTTGCTCTTCAGCAGCTGGTTCAGGGTGAAAGCTATAGTAGGAAATCATTGAATTGTGTTAATGCCAATCTTTATGGCAGGAGCAGAGTTTCCTCTGCTGGGCCTCGTGGCTGTGCTGTGCAGCCGCTGATCTGCCTGGAACGTGTGGGGCCTCGGACAGCCGCTAGAGGCGCGCCAGAGCCAGCCCTCCTGAGAGGCTGGGCCATGAGTTTAACCCGGAAGACAGCTTTGCATCATGCGTCACCCTGCCTGTAGCTTGAGAACCAGGCACTTTTAGTTCTACAGCATTTGCTCACACAGCTGATTGTAGGCAAGCCCTGGAGAGAGCCTCTGGGTGGGTGGTATTCAGATACCCCTGCCCCTTTCTCATGAAACATGGAGATATAATCTGCACACAGTGAAGTGCACAGACCTCAAGTGTCAAGTTTGGTGAATTTTGACAGGTACCCACACCTGTGTAATCAGCACTCCATACAGAGACTGTTTCCATCGTTCTAGAAAGTTCCTCCATGCCTCACCCTGCTCCACTGCCTGCCCTGTGCTTTGTCATGCTTAGGCGTCTGTGCGTCTGTAGTGTGTGCTTGTTTGCATCTGGCTGTGTCTGCTCACACTGTGCTTTGAGGTCCACGTGCGTTGTTGCATGTGTGGTAGTCACTCCTTTTATTGCTGAGCAGTGTCCCTAAGATGCTGGGCCACATCTGCAGTCAGATGCTATGCCCCCCAGGTCGCGTCATCCCTCCGTTCACCTGATGAGGGACAGCTGGGCTGTTTCTAGTTCGGGGCTCTCATGAACAAAGCTGCCACAAACGTTTGTGTACAGGTGTTCGTGTGGCTGTCTGTTCTCATTTTTCTTAGTAAATATCTACAAGTGGGACAGCAGGGACAGATGGGAACTGTGTTTAGTTTTGTAAGTACCTGCCAATGGCTGTAGGTTTCAGCGCCCTCTTGCCTCAGCTGCAGGCTTAGTGTGTGTCAGTGGGCAGGGCTGGCAGAAACTCGAAAGGTGCCCTGGACAGGGTGAGGCAGAGCAGGGCTGGAACCAGGAACTCTTTCTGCCTAGGGTTTTAACTTTTCTCAAACTGATGTTGGAAAGAACTCTCATAGCCTAAGGTACTTCACAGAAAGGGTTCTGTGACTAGGTAAGTTTGGGAAATGCTGTGAGCACTGTCTTCCTTCTGGAAATTTTATGTGCAGTGACAAAGTCTGCACGCCCTTCAGGTAAGAGTCACGCATCACTTTCCCGATGCCCTCTTCCCTGGCCCCTCCCCTGGCCCCCACCACTTTCTCCCCCTTTCCTCATTTGTATCTCTTCTCACTCCCCTGGAACCACGACTCCTGCCCCCTTGTGCCAGGTGCGGCTATAGGCTTCTGGCACCCTGGCAGCAGGGGCTCCTCCCAGCTGTGGGACCCTCGGTGGGGTGGTCTCTTAGGGTCCCTGCTGATCCCACCTCTAATATTAATAGTCACGAGCCAGCGTGACTTGGCCAAGGGAGATGTCCCCACACGACCTGGTTTAGGTGGGTCCAGGGCTGGCTCTGGACACCTATCTGGGCTCCAGTGTGGCCCCAGCCTCTGCCTGCTGGTGCCTTTGGGATGTCACCTAAGTTTTAAGCTTTACTTCCTCCATGTATGTCAAAACAGGTTCATATTACCCACCTACCTCTCAGGGCAGTCTGGCATCACATCTGCCTGGAACCCGGCCGGCACTCCACGTTACAGGTTCCCTGTTCCTTCTTCGGCTCCCTGCAGCCTCTCCACGGCCCAGTACCGGCTGGAGTGATATGTGCCTGTCCTGGAGCATGGTCGTTGCTTACCTAGAAGCTGTTGCCTGGTTCACTTCAGAGCACACAGTTTGCTTTAGAGAATAAAATCCTGCGTGCCGCATTCTTTGAAGACCTGTTCTGTGATGTGGAAAGACTATGTCTCTTCCTCTTAGTGCAACAGTCCTTTGGGGTTTAGAAATCACTCGGGGCAGGTCTATGTAGCCTTCAGCAGTGTCTGGGATGCACCCGCCAGGTGCCTGGTGCCCCTGCCTGGGGCCCGCCCCCTCATGTGTCACCTTAGTTCTCACGGTGCCCATGTGGGGATAAAAATGAGCAGGCGCCTGAGGTATAGCAGCCAAGCTCACGTTTGTTGAACACTGCCAGGTGGGGGTCTCTGCTGTGTGCTTTCCAGGAATGATCCTTTAATTTTGACAGCTGCCCATGTCACAGAGGAGGGGGAAAGCATCATGTCACAGAGGAGGGGGAAAGGCTAAGAGCTTGTCTAGGTCACACTGTGGGTGCTAGGCTGGGCTGAGAGTGGCTGCTCCTTAGTGTCTGCTGAGCCAGCAGGAGAATGTCACCAGCAGCCTGCATCTTCACATCAGATTAAGTCACCCAGGGACTCAGCCAAACCTGTACGTGTGACTTGGAGCAGTCACAGCATTTAAGACTGGTATCTGCTGCTTATTATGAAAAACAAAAAGTGCAACATATCTCTAGGCTTTGGTTCCCATGACCCTTCCCTGGGGTCCAGAGCCCCCTGACAGGCACAGGGTCCTTGGGGACTTAGGTGATCCCTGTGCTTTCTGGGTATCTCCCATCTTGCAGCTGACAGGTGTGAAATCTCTTCCAGTAACTTTATTCCTGATAAGGAGACAAACACGTGTGGGTCCACTTGTGTGTGCTGTGTGTATGTGTGGCTGTGTGTACATGCACTTGCATGTGTTTACATGTGTGCTGTTTGGCTGTATGTACATGCACTTGCATGCATTTACATCTGTGCTATATGTGTGGCTGTGTGTGCATGCACTTGAATGCGTTTATATCTGTGCTATATGTGTGGCTGTGTGTACGTGCACTTGCATGTGTTTACATCTATGCTATATGTGTGGCTGTGTGTGCGTGCACTTGCATGTGTTTACGTCTGTGCTATATGTGTGGCTGTGTGTGTGTGTACTTGCATGTGTTTATATCTGTGCCATGTGTATGTGTGGCTGTGTGCTTGCACTGCTTTTGGCATAAGCACACTCTGTCACTGGAACGGTGACTCCATCCCTGCTGTTGCTGTTGATGTGGTTGGCTCTGCTTCTAAATCTAGTCAGAGGGACAGCAGGCTGTCTCTTGGAGTGTTGCTCTTCTACGCAGAACTTTGCAGTGCTCTGCCTGACAGCCTTGCCGTGCAGTAGGATCACCCTTCGGTGACATGGACCGAGTGGAGGGTGCGGTTAGGTCAGGGGCTGTGGCAAGCCCTCAGGTCCAAAGAGGCCTCCTTGAGAGAGGAGGTGCACATGGCCTCCACCTTGTCATAACTGGAGGCCCCTCACTGCCCCCTGGGCTGGCAGAAAGTACAACAGACAAATAGCACCCGGGGCAGGTGAGGACGTGGAGCTGCAAACACCTGAGAGCCTTTCAGGGAACAGTTTGGTGAGCATGCACTGCTGAGGGTGTGTCCACTCCCAAGGAATATACTCCACAGAGGGGCATATCTCAGGCACTGAGACAGCCCAAATGTCTGTCAGCAGCAGAATGTCTGAGTGAATCTTGATACAGTGTACTTGCAGTATACAGGACAGCAGAATGATGACGTAAACTCCCCAAACAGGTAAAAGTAGTCTCATTTCTTAGGGATGAGTAGGTAGCAGAAGAAAGGAGAAACCAGAACAGTGACCAGAACAGTGGAGAGCACATCACCTGGCCTGAGTGGCAGCCCAGCCCTGCCCATGCCTGCCCATCCCGGGCCTGGGTCTCAGGACGCTTCCCTCCAGCCCCCAGAGCTTCGCTGTTTGGGAAGAGCATTGGGTAGGGGTGTCAGGCGCCAACTCCTGGTGGCCAGACCCAGCCAGCAGCGTCAGGCCCGTGCTCATTCTTGACCAACTGAGTGGAATCTGCAGCAGGATGGGGCTGCTGGCTGCACGTGGGGCCACCAGATGCGGGAGGAAGGTGCCCAGGCAAGGGCACAGAGGACAGGTCAGGCACTTGCTCTGGATCCAGACTGGTCCAGCCGCCTATGAACTGAGCCAGCCGGGCAAGGCAGGCCTGGTCTGTTTCTTCACCTCCTGACCTCAGCTGCAAGAGCACAGCCAGCACCAGCAGGTGGGAGTTTGTGCCCCATAGGAGTTCTTGTGGCTCTCACTAAACTGCCATTCAGTGAGGGGAGATTGCTGCTTCTGGCAAGTTCTGGGAGGGATCCCTTAACCTGCTGAGGAGCAGGCATCCAGAGAATTTTGTAAATCCACTGAATTCCCAGTAGGGGTCAGGGAAGACACTGATGAGGTGAGACAGGGATGGTGCTGGTGATGGGACACAGCAGCCCACTCCTCCCGCCTTTGTGTGCTCTAGGCAGTTCCATGATAAAAGACTTAAAACACAAAAGAACCAGGAAGATTCTCTGGATTGGAATGGCCTTACTTGAGTTGAATGCCACTGGCGTTTACCTCTCCTGATCTTAGTCCTGCGTTGCTCCCTGGAGCACAGACTGCACCATGAGGAAGTCTGGGGGTACGGCAGGCACGGCAGGCACGTGGGGTGCACAGTAGGCCCGCAACAGAGGCTTTTATACAAGGCTGTGTGTTCTTTCTTCATACAGAGGGAGTATGTTCAAATCATGTTTTGTTCCTGGATGATCAGTTATTCCTTCTCAAATTGATGGAGCACTTGCTGTGTGTAGTACGACATCAACCATTGCCACGCAGGCCCCTGTTTAGTGGGGTGGGGACAGACAAGAGCTTCCACCTCTGTTGGAAGCTTCGGGTGTAGGCAGTGATTATTTTGTTCTTATTTCTGGGCAAGTAACGTATGTGCACTGTGAGGCCGGATCTTTGCCAGCCTTCATGGCTAACCTCCCCAGCAGGGTTTGAGACGTTCTTGTCACTGTTGAAGACGTCTGGAGCAGTGCAGGGCCTGTGCGGGTGGATCAACTCTGGCTCACTGGATTGATGCTGTTTCTGTGAAGGGGAGTTACACGGAAGTAACTAAAGTGTTGAGGCTTATATAATAATTTGAGGGGAAATGACCAATTTTATGATACTTTGTGTTGGTTTTCTGTCATACATTTACACATCTAGAAATACACATTTAAAAAAATTTAGAAATTGGATAATAAGTATCAAATAACTTAATAGTTTCAAATGTGTGGAATATTTTCAGCAGTTTCTTTTTTTTATATTCATAGAACTTAAGGCAAACAAGTACAGCCATTGGGGAGGAGTCAACAGATTAGAAATTAGAAGGCCCCCAAATTTTTCAGCTGGTTTTAATTGTTTTAAATTCAATAACTTGACATATAATTTGACTCTTAATTTATTCCTGGTTTATCCTTTGTCAAGTGCTTTTTATAAAAGAATGAATGTTTAATTTCTTAATAAAATTGCCACAATTAGCAATAGATCCAGTCTCTTGAAATAAATTTTATAACCTTTAATGAAGTAAATCCAAGATTAAACTTATTTTTTGGAATCTTAAATAATGAAGCATGGCAAGGTTTTGGGGGATAAACAAAAATGAGATGATCAGCTTTTAAATCATAATAGTCAAGAGGTATTGATAGCAAAATTGACAACCCTTGAACATAAAACCTTGAAAACTTCTATCTGGTATCTTCAAACTCTTAAAGATATAGAAGATTGAGCTCTTGGTCTACCATGGCTTTTTCCCAATAACTCCTTATTCTTCTCTGAGGAGTGCAAATTTTCTTTTTTTCTGAGACAAGGCAGAAGTATTGATGGAACATACAGGGAGTTAGGTGGCTCCAGAGGCACATGGCCCCCTCCGAGATGGATCTGGCACAGGACCCTGTGACCCTGTGAGCAGGCATCCTAGGAAAAGCTGTCTTCCGTTGGTAGGAGCTGGAGGCCTGGAGGCAGCAGGGGAGGTGAGGCTGGGAGGGCAGGCATCCCAGGTAGAGGGGAGGATCTGCACTGGAGGCCATGCCTGTGCCCGTCTGCCTCGAGCTCTACCCAGAAGAGCTGACCTGGCTATGGTGTGTCCACTGGGCCCCTCTGTCCATCCCCAGTGGGGCAGGGTGGGGCTGGTTAAGTGCATGCCAGAGGTGAGACCACCGAGGACCCTCCTACTTCCCCAGCAGACCCCCAGAAATTAGCCAGTTTGTACCCAAAGCCACTGAGAAATTTAAAAGAAAAAAGGTGATTTGGGGCCCCTCCCTCCTCTGTTAGGGGAAGACCGTTGGATGGAAGAACTGGGCAGAGGCCCCAGCGCCTCTCCTAAGCCCTGCTGTGGGGTCTGCCCTGTTCCTGGAACTCTGCCAGGAGCAAAAGGTGCTAGAAGGCCTAAGCCAGGAAGAGGGTCTCTTGTTCCAAACGAGGATGCCACCACCACAGACCAGCCCTCCCCAAAGAGCTGGGCTGCCCTTGGCCCTGGGCCTGCTCACCCGTAAGAGGAGGATTACAGCATCTGCCAGCCAGCCAATGCCGGCTGCAATCTGCAGGGCCACTTTGTCATTTCTCCACCAAGGGTTTCAGACAGAGCTGTGGGGGTGGGAAGGCTACCCTGGCCTCAAGAGAGACAGACCTCCCACCCAGCTTTGTGCTTGGGAAGGAGTGGCGGGAGGGAAAGTCAAGCTTACAGCTTAAAGGTTGGAATGAGACACTGGCACACCTTAAAACAAAAATTCGACAGAAGCAACTCTGAAAACTTCTCTAATCATCAGATCAGGAAATAGGGCGAGTTCTGTATCCCATCCACTAGACCAGGGACACCTCTGTGCCCGGGGAGGGGGAGCCTCACCTGTGTCACCTGTAGACCAGGGACACCTCTGTGTCTGGAAGAAGGGAGTGCTTCACCTGGTCCACCTCACAGCTAACATCTGTGTAGCTCCTAATGGAACAGGCTAGGCTGGGCCTCCTCCAAGGTGAGGCTATGGGGCCTCCCACAGGTGTGATGCTAGTCCTTGGCCATCCCAGGTAGCCCAGCAGCAGGCTTGTCCTATCACTCCCAAGCAGACCTCATGGGGCACTTCATCCAGCCATCCAGGCCTCTCTTCCCTAGGGATGCCCTTTCAGCCTTAGCATTAAGTTAGAAATCCTAACAGCATTTTTCTTTCTTCAGTTTATTATACTCTTTAGTTTTGTACACACTTTGAAGTGATGTTTCTGTGGGGGCCGTGGGCGTATCAAGTACATTTGGTGGGTAAGGAGAGAGTATCATGCTACTTAATTATTCCCAGTTTAAAACCAGCTGCATCTCAGGCACATTTTTCAGGAACTATGTTAAGAACACATGTGCCGGCTGGGTGTGGTGGCTCACGCCTGTAATCCTAGCACTCTGGGAGGCCGAGGCGGGCGGATTGCTCAAGGTCAGGAGTTCGAAACCAGCCTGAGCAAGAGCAAGACCCCATCTCTACTATAAATAGAAAGAAATTAATTGGCCAACTAATATGTATAGAAAAAATTAGCCGGGCATTGTGGCACATGCCTGTAGTCCCAGCTACTCAGGAGGCTGAGGCTGAAGGATTGCTTGAGCCCAGGAGTTTGGAGGTTGCTGTGAGCTAGGCTGATGCCACGGCACTCACTCTAGCCTGACAAAGTGAGACTCTGTCTCAAAAAAACCAAAACAAAACAAAACAAAAAAACACGTGTGCCCACAGCACATCCTAGAGGCCAGCCCACCCGCCAGCCCCAGTCAGATACCAACATGCCTTTGTAGCATTTCCTTCATTTTAATACTTGTCATTTTTCTATGACACCAAAGAAATGAGGAGGAATCCAGTATTTTAACAATTCAAATACAGTATAAATAGTGGCTTTAGAGTCTCATCACTTCATGAACACCCGGTGTTGAGGAGGCTCAGGACCTGGACCTTAGGGTGCGTGTTTAGAGGAAACGCACACATTTCTAAGAGAAAGCAGGCATGTTAATAAGAACACAGCAGATTCTTCACACCAGGCACCTGTTGCTTTGAACAACGCAGCCTTGGCCTAAGAGTGGCCTTTTAGGAAAAACATAGAAAACTTCAGGAAAAACACCCTGTGCTGTTCTGGCCTTGGTGCATCTCTTTCTGGAGAGGACAGGCAAGAGCACCAGGGTAGCAAAGTGCCACGCGTCCATCGGAACTTCAGTTTATGTCCCAGGAGGGAGTCAGCCAGGGCTTTGGGCTCAGCTACCCGACCCAGGCCACCTACGTCAACACCTGCTGCAGCCCTGCAGGGTCTGGGGCGCAGTGCCGGCGCCCGCAGCGCATCTTCTTCATCAGGCGCCCGAGCTTGCTGGGGAAGCTTTTGTTCATGTGGCGGTAAAGAAGGGGCATAACAAAGCTGCTCGAGAACGCCAAGACTTTTGATAAATCCTTCGCTAGGTACACCATCCCTGTGTAGCGAGCGTCCACTGGCTTCCCACGAGAGACCAGGACTGTGTGCCCCAGGAGGGTCAGGTAGTGAGGAGTCCAGAGCCCAAACTGTGTGCACACCGTGGCCACCAGGAGCCTGTGTGCTGAGGGGTCCAGCCTCCCTGTGTCCTGGTCAAGCGGTGTGTCCGCCTTCTGGATGCGCGAAATGAGCACCAGCCCATAGATGGCTGCCGGTGCCGGCACCACATAGCCAATGAGCACCAGGATGGCGTCAGCAGCCTCTGCGCTCTGCATCTTGGCACACTCAAGGACCCGGGAGGACACGCGGCTGCAGATGTAGAAAAGCAGTGAGGAGAAGCTGGTCAGCAAGGCCCCACCCCAGATGAAGCCGCACACATGCCTAGTGTTGTGCACGCTGGCCATGTGGGTCCGTGGCAGCGCGCGCTCGATGTAGTGGTCGAGGCTGAGCAGGGTGGTGGAGTATGTGGCCACCAGGGAGGACACATTGAATGGGATCAGCAGAGCGATGTGCGCCTCGCTGCTGACGCTCCATGGGGCCCATGCCGAGCCAGGGGTGCCGAGGAGGCACACGGGGGCCAGAGCGTTGAGGACCAGGCCCGCCACAGCCATGTTGACGAAGTACACATCTGGCATGGTCATGCTGTTCTTGCTATGCAGGTTGGCCAACACCAGCAGGCCATTGTAGCAGAGGCCGATGGGGACACCTGCGGCCAGGCAGAGCAGTGACAGCACGGACAGCCCAAGCTGTAGGTCCTGGCAGGCGGGTGGCTCCTCACTCCTGCCTGTCCCGTTGAACCAGCCGCAGCCCCACATGGCAGCCGGTGAGGCTCTGTGACTCTGCGGGAAGAAGGAACAAGAAGTCAGCTCATGTCCCCTTCCCAGGGCAGGGCCAGGAATGGCTCAGCAATACAGAGGCGGCCTCCTACCAGCCCGGGGGGCTCAAGAGACCAGAGTCTGCCCTGAGAGAACACAGTCAACAAACCAGCATCTGAAGTCCTGGCCTGAGCTGCTGTGGCCAAAGCTTATGATGCTGCAGTAACGCCAGTGGCCACGGTGAGTCTCCCTGAGCCTCTTCCTGAGAAATGTGACTGTGCTAAGCTGTCGATAGGCTCTTAGAAACTGCGACTAAGCGAAAGAATGTATATTGAAAGCCTAATTGACAGTAATGAGCCAAGATTTCTACAGCTTATTTCTGGTCACAGAAACATCACCAGACTTTTAAGTAAAGACCTCAAACACTTCTAACATTAAACATTGAAATAAATATGAGCTACATGCACATTTAAGAAAGGTTAATAAAAACAAGTGAGATAATATTTACGTTGCCAACTTTTGGTGAGGCGTTTGGTGGTGGTGGTAGTGGGTGAAATCGGGACAAATGCCTGTGAAGCGAGACTGCATGAACCACCTTCTGCCACCACACAGCCCGCAAATGGTCACAAATACAGCAGCTCACTGAGCGCGTCCACACCACATCCTTTATTGCTGTGCATCTGTATGATTATTGTAGACTTTACAAACTTTTATTTTACAGTAATTTGTACTCATCCATTCACTTTCCAACCCACTTATTCCAGTTCCGGGTCAAGGGTGGCCAGCGCCTATCCCGGCAGCTCGGGGCACAGGCAGGTACCAGCCTGGCCAGGACACCATCCAGCGCAGGGCTTGCACATCCACAGGCAGACAGGTGCTGTGTGGACACCGCGTTAGCACCGAGTGCAGCTGTGGGTTGTGGGAGGAAGTGCAGACCCCACACAGACAGTGGCCTGCCAGGAACTGACTTTTTTCTCATCAACATCAGAAGGAAGTACTGTTGGAGAGCCTGGGTGATGTGTGGTTTATTCTGGACGCTCCTAACAGAAGCTGGTCAGCACGTGCTCCACATCCTACACTTTGTCCTGCTCAGTCCGACCCGCCACGGTCCTCAGCACCAGCTGGTAGTGCGGGGGGGGGGGGGGAGTTTTCTCCACCAGGTGGAGGCTCCTCAGAGCCAGAAACCCACCCTGTGCTCCAGGCCACCAGGCAGCTCCTAGTGCTGCAGCTCCTAGCTGTCCCCACCTAGCTGTCCCCAGCTCCTCACACTGACGTGCTGAATGTCTACCCTGTGCTGAGCACCACCTCATGTGGCCATCGTCTGGCGGGACATGGAGATGTGCCTGCTCATGTACCACTTGCTGCGCAGAGCAAGAAGGCTCATGGGAGCCCCAGAGGAGCATGCATGGGTCAAGTGTGAGCAGCTGTGCCAGCTCTCATGGACGCGAGCTGAGCCTGGGGGGACTATGGCCCCGGAGAGCCCACAGCATGTGGAGCTAGGACTGAAGGATGAGCTCGGCATGTCCCATGTGCTCAGAGCTGCTCTGCAGGTGCCATCAGGCCTGAGTGAACATCTTGATGAGGTTGGACAGGCCCAACACTGTAACTTAGTGGTTTGCCGGGTGCCTGTGGGTGCTTGGGTCTTGTCAGCACTGTGAGAGATGGGCAGTGTGGGTGGTTGGCCCTGGGGCTTCCCTCCCCATGCCAGGGTGGCCCTGGCCCAGGACCTGGCACCTCAGAGCTGCAGAGCGGTCTGTCGGTTGTAGCTTGTGGGAGACTGTGGGCACACACCTGGTCTTGTCATAACTGAACAAGAAATTGGCAGGTAAAGTCACAATATAGAGTGTTCCCTCCACTCCCAGAGAACAGATATTCTTCAGGAACGTCCAGTTCTTTGGGGGAAACCTCACATTCAGAATGTAGTTGGCTCAGCCAGATCTCCTGCTCTCAATGAAAGAGCATCCCAGCAGACACAGCAAGTATTCCTGACCCCCGAGGCAGGAACACAGTGAGGAAGTTGGGCTGCCAAGGGAGCAAGAGCCTCACACCATGCTCTGGGGCAGCCTGTGCACATCCCACAGCACAGCAGCACTGCCCTGTGAGTCTGCCCCATGCCTCCGTATTTCATGTCCCCAGAGCCGGCGCATGGCAGCAGGTGGATGGGCACATGGGGGAATTCCTTTGGGACTTTCGCCTTGATCCTCAGATGTGGGTGGGAAGGACACTGAGTGGGCATGTGGTTGTACAACCCTAATGAATGCCACCTGGCAACCTGAGATGAGTGTCAGGTGGTGATGAAGGTGCTAACACTTAGGCCACGCTGGCTGCCCGCCCATGTGTGCAGGTCACATCATTCCAGGAAGGAGTGTTCACTCTCGTCTACGACATGGACATAGGTCCTGAAATCTAGACAGCTGCTCCTTACTCTCTGGCCTTCTGTCCCTTCACTAGCCACATCCTGACCAGACCTCCTGGCCTGCTTGGCTGGTGGCACCCACAGGGGCTGTCAGGGCTGGAGCCCTCTTGGGCAGATGGCATAAGCACCAGGCAGGCAGTAAGAAGTGGTTGCCCTCCTGGAGCTGGAGAGGGCATCCCTGCCTCCATCTCTGAGCTGACCTGGCAGCTGGTGCTAGTCTTGCATTCTCTTTTCCTTCCTGGTCCACAGTTTTCCCACCCCTAATCTCGGCCACCCAACTGCCTCAGTGGCCAGGGGCTGGAGAACTGAATGCGTCTTCTGTGTATGTTTGCCTCCCAGCACCCACGTGCCACGCTGCTTGGCTTTGGCTGTGACTGGGGGCTGAGTAGGAGTCCCCAGTTTGGGGATATTGTTCACCAGACCCCACTGGCCATGAATCCCAGGAAGCACTGTGCTCTTCTGTGACCCCTGCAAGTGGATGTCAGGGACCAGAGTGTCTCTACCCCAAGAGCAGCCTGGCCTGGCCTGGCCTCATGTGGCGTCCAAGGCCCCAGGGTTTGTCCGAGCTGTTCCCAGGTGTTCCCACACTGGGGACAAAGGGTGTGAGTTTGGCAGGGGCATCTGAGGAGGAAGGGCCCTCATGCACATGACCCATGTTGTCCCCTGGCTTTATTTAGAAAAGGGCAACAGTCCGGCTGGGGCCACCTTCACCTGCCAGATCTCGCAGAGGCCCAGCCCCTTACATTTAAAGATGTCCCCATGGCGGCAGGCCGCATGGAGCCCTTCCCGCCTCCTGGTTAGCTCTCAGCCTCTGCCACCTTGCTGGCTGCTGGGTTCCTACCTTTATTTGGAGTCCCAGGTTTCTTTGTGCCGTGGACTACCGACACCATCAGAGAGCAGCATGAGAGCCAGGGGGGCCTGCGCTGTGCTTGCGCAGAGACCCGCAGCCTCCACATCCGCAGCACTGTGCGTGGTGCCAGAGCAAGAGCACGAGGCCCCAGGATGCAGGCACACCACTTGTTTTTCCTCCAGTAAATTACTCACAAAGTTCCTGCCTCCCTTGGCAGGCACAGCGGCCCCTCCCTCTCTCTGTTTACAGCCAGTTTCTAGGAGCTGAGGTTCTGCAGGACTGGCAGCTGTAGGATCAGCGTGTGGCTCCTTGGGGGCAGGCTGGGTGCAGGCAGAAACTGTGGTGCTTCTGCCCCAGGTCCGTGTGGCCACTCCTGATGCGTGGCATGCCTGAGAAGTTCAGTCACACATCCCTTTTTCCTTGAGGAAATAAACTGAATAGACGCTTGTCTGTAGAAAACAGAACAAAGTAGTTGGACCTCACTGCATGTCTGCCGAGAGAGAAGCCCTGGCTGCTTGTGCTTTGGCCTGCGGGAAACAGCTCTGGGAGGTGCAGCAGAGGCAAGGGGCAGGCTCAGAGCCTAGAGTAAAGAGGGAGGTGTGCTCTGCAGCCTCATGACGTGCATGTTCCCCATCGCTGTGCACGCGTGTAACAGCGCTGTTGGAGAAGAGCTAAGCTGACCACGCAAACTGAGCGTTCCAGTGAGGGCTGGACCCAGCCCCAGGTTCCTCCTGCAGATGGAGTCGCGCTGGGCTGGTTTGTCTGATCTGCACCCTCAGATGCAGGGAGCTGAGGCGGGAGCTGCCTGGACTGCCAATGCCTGTCCTGAGCGGTGCGAGCAGGAGGGCGGCCAGCACTGGGCTAAGAATGGCCCGATTCTTAGGAGAGTGTCACATGGGGTAAAATCTGCTTAGCATTTCCTTCATGCATCCCATGCTGGTGCGGCCCTGGCTCACCTAGTGTCACCCAGTCTAGGCATGCGGGAGGGCAGGTGGTGACCCTCAATGCAAAGATTTTTATTTCAAATTAAGATTATGAGCTAAAAGCTGCCTGTTTTCATTCACTTTCAGCCTAAAAATGACACACTCTGCTTTTTTGATCTGACATTCTTCCTTGGGAAGCACCTTCTTTTACCAGGTGTTAGAGATCTCAGGAGCAAAATGCCTTGTGGATGGGTGGCTTCGTGGGCTAGTGTTGGAGGGGATGTTCATAAAGTTAAAAAATGAGTCTCGTCTGTGTTAGGAGCTGGAGTGAAGGGTAAAGGGCAGCTAGGGAGGGCAGGTATGCAGCTGATAGCAGCCGTCCATGCCAGTGGTGCCGCTCTGGCAGGGCCCCCTAGGCACACTCCAAGGAGCCAGTCTGAGCACTTTTTCCACCTGCAGGGTGTTGGCTGTGGCTCAGGGGTGACCCAATATGAGACGGGGCTCTGAAGGCCAGACAGCAGCAGGTTGCAACTCACAGGTGCTGCTGCCAGTGCTCTTGGTGGAAGCTGTGCAATCGGGGCACAGCAGATCATGTCACTTCTGTGTCCCCACCTCTCCTGCTAAGGGGCCATTTAGTGACATACACACGGTCACAATAACTGAGGTGTTCCCAAGAACGTTGTGGGGATGGGAGGTCCTGTCCTGTCCAACTTGCTGTTGCATTGCCCTGTCTCCCCCACCCCAGGGCGGCATGGGCGGAGCTGCCCCCTCTTTTGAGTCTCCTGTGGCCTCCACTTCCTCTGTGCTGAGACTTCCCGCCCTGCGGCATGTGGCTTCGGAAGAGGAACACCCTGGGACTTGCAACCTGGACTGGGCCGTCTTTCCAGTTAACCAGGCTCACCATGAACTTCCTTCATGAGAAAGAGGAACTTGGGACTGGATGGGGTGGGAGATTTGGGTTTGGGGGAGAAAACCCACAAATTAATGTCATAGAAGTGGGCTTTTTATCTGACATTGGAAAGTCCGAGTTTGTCAAGATTCTAGGAAGGGTCCCTCAAATTCGTTTTCTGTCTCTCTCTGCAAAAGACAACAGAGAGGGCTGTCCCTGACCCTGGAGCTGGGGCTGTCTCTCTTGGCTGCCTGGCCCCAGGTGGGGAGCACTCCTGACCTGCACCCAGGTCCGCCCATGTCCACTTGGGAAGCTGCCTGCCAAGGGCAGGACTAACCATCCACCTTCCTATGACCCTGCTACCTGCTGCAGTGCCCTTGGCCATCAGGGACCCCAGGGGGCCCCTTGTCAGGAGGACTGTCATCACACCAGGCTCCTAGCCAGCACCCTCTGGCCGCCCCCACCCTCCCAGGCCAGGCCCTCCTGGAGCTGCTGCTCCAGCGGGCTGGCTGGTCCAGCCACCTTCCTTCCATTCTTCCCACTGGCCTCTCCCACCCCCGAAACCCTCCCCCAGGATTCCTTTGGGACCTGCCACCCACCAGCAGGTCCCGCCCCAGGTCCACATCAGCACCCGCCCGTCCTCAGGAGGCACCAAGAACCGGCCCTTCTCTGCCCTGCCCTCCTGTCCTCTCTGCAGTGTCCGCAGCTGACTCAGGATGCTGCGGGGCAGCCTTGGTTCTCAGGGGACGGCACACTGGGGCCTCTGTGGGGATAGTGTGGCACCTGGGCCGGGATGGGAGACAGCAGGGTTCCTGTGTACTATGAGAAGCAGGCCCTGGGCATCTTGCGGGTGGGTGGGATGGCTGCCTGGGCCCTGTAAAAGAATTAATGATAGGAATGTGACTTGTTTCCCTCACAAAGAACAAAGTGGACATACAAAAGGCCAGAGGTGGCCTTGCACCTGCCACTCACTTCCCAGTCCAGAGGCTAGTGTCGAAGAAGCGCCTGGCCTCTTCTTTAGGTGGATGCAGAGGGCTTTAGCTTCCAGGCTCATGGGCCAGTGGTAGTCAGGAAGCAGAGTGGTAGTCAGTCAGCCTGGCTATTGCAGAGAGGGCGTCAGGGCCAGGGCTGGCCCCAGTGCATACAGTGGCCTGAGCATGGGAGCAGGTGTGCTCTCATCTGGGGTGGTGGGTAGGCAGCTGAGGCCCCTCAGCCACCGCAGAACCTCAGTTCGCCCAGCTCAGGGTCTCCAAGCAGATGTGAGCAGCAGGAGGGACGGGGCTGGATGCCGCATACACCAGAAAGCTGGTGTCAGAAGTGATACTTCCATACAGAAAACCCTGAGAGAGCCAATGATCAGGACCATGTGTGCCTCCAGGTCTTGGATGGGGAGGGCTCAGACCTCTCTGTCCAAACGCTCCTATGGAGCTTGGGGGCCATGCGAAGCCATAAGGACGTCATGGTGCGCTTACTTCCTCTGCAGCACAGAGGATCTGCCTCTTGGACCCTAGCAGCTGTCCGTGTCAGAGGAAGGCTAGGCCAAGGTAAGCACAGCCAGGGCCAGGGGTCAGGAAGCTCCTGGAGGCAGCGTGCCCATCCAGGCTCTGCTGGCCTGCAGGGGCCCTCTGAGCCCGTCAGGAGGCGTGGTAATGCAGCCGCCCCAGCGGGGTGGGGTGACACCTTGCTGACACTGCTGGGGCCTCAGTGAGAGCCCGGTGGGCAGGCAGGTGGCAGTTGTATCTCTCTGAGGCCCACTGGTCAGGCCCTAGGGAATGGAACCCTTTGGGTTCCCTGTCCCTTCCCAGTTTCTGTGGACTTAGCGGTTTCCAGAGCACCCCTTTCTTGGGCATGTGATGTGCTGGGTGACAGCTATTCACTACAAATAAGGTGGGGATGTTTTCTTCCAATACCCCTGCACTGGGCTCCAATTACTATTTTTCAAGAAGATGCCTCTTCTTGAGGAGCCATCCAGCCCTGAGAGGGCTCTTGGGCCAGACTTGCTCATGGGGCTGGCCTTTGTTCCCCTCCTTGTGCTGGTGTGTGATGAGGCCCCTTGCAGGACATCAGCCCAGGCTCTGTGCCCCAGGCTCAGGGGAAAAAGAAAACCAAGGAGGATGTGACCCCCAGCCTGGCCTGAGACCTCTGGTAGGGGCAGACCTCTGGTGGGCCCACCCTGGCCTGAGCAGCTCGTCTAAGCAGCTGTCCTTTTAGACAGGAAATCCATGGATGTGCCCACCCCAGGTTAGATGGCTCCCTGCTGTTCTCTGAGCCCCCAGCAAATGGCTTGGGGATCTGTTTTTCTAATTGATAACCACAAGCCCTTCAAGCAGCTGACTTCCCTTGGAGATCACCATCAGATGGCCTGAGGCACTTGGCTAGTATGCTCCATGGTCCTAGGTTTGCCAGCTAAGGAGCCCCTGGTCAGCCCTTGTGCTGATGATGAGTCACGTGGGTTGAGAGTGCAGCCTACAGGGAGGGGAGCCCTGCCCAAGCCTGGCTACCCAAAGGGGCTGGAAAGAGGTGGCATGTCCTGAACCACAGCCACCAGCAGTGCAGTGCTGTCCTGCTGGGGGGTGGAATAGAGACCACTGCATAGCTGCACAGCCCCAGCCAGGGCTTCACCAGGGACTTCAGGGGCTTCTGTGTCTGTGTCATGCAGCCAGGTGCAGCAGGTGCTTAACACCAGGAAACTCCAGTCCTTAAGTAGTTTGCTCACTTTGAGAAAGCAGTTCTGATTGAGACACCAACCTGACCCCTAGTCTAACTCATCACACCCTATATGAAGGAACTTTAAGCAGGCAATAAACTGCACTGCTGCTAGGCTGGCGCGTGTCCTGCAGTCTACAGGGAGAACTGAGTTAGTGGTGGATAATATCAACGGGGATAAAGTGCTTTAAAAAACCCACATCTCCCCAGCCTTTCTGTGTGGGAAGTGGTTAGGAATTCAGGGTCTGGAGCCAGGCAGCGAGGACATGTGTCCTAGGCTTACTGGTCATAGACTGTGCGCCTTTAGCTGAACAGGTAACTTCTTGTACCTGTGGCTCAGTTTCTCCAAGTGTAGGGAACTCTTCATGAGATTGTTAGCAGAATTAAATAAATCAGTTCCATAGGGCACACAGGGTGCCCGCACTTGCTAGGCCTTGGTTGGCCCTGGCGTCAGGAGAACCGGAT